ATTATCACTTCTCCAAACAGCCTAATAAAATAAGTGGAATGCAAATAACAAAATAAAATTATTGGTGCATTTTTTTCCCCACCATTGGTAATATTTAGAAGTTTCACAATTTGTTAAATTAGTCAAATTAAAGTCTCCATATAATTTTTTAAAGGATCAATATTATTTTGATATTCTTTCGAGGGTTTATTAGAAATAATTTGTTTTTATCTTTATAAGACAGGGTTAAAGTTGAGCACACACGATCCTCTCTATACCCCACTCGTAGAATTACTTTGAATATGTTGGTGTTGTATTATTTTGATATTATTATATATCTACCACTATCAATACTAATTAGTACTAGTAATAACTGATAACTACTACTAGTTAGGTTCTGAGTTATATTTCAATTATACAAATATAATTTTTTGAAATTAAATTGTATGTTAGGTTGCCAATTCACATCATAGCACTGTGGATCAACAGTAGTAATATTATCAACAGTAGGTGGTACTACTCTACCAGATAATGTTGCACGAGTTTAAATGTGATGATTTTTTATAATAATTTTAAACTATAGATTATATCAGTTCAACTATATATAGCTAAAAAACAATTCAACCAAACATGCCAATACTTCTTAAGTTAAAAGTTAAATATAATTGGGAAATTACCAACTCCAAACAAAATATACTTGGAAAATTAGCAAACAATAAGACCAACAGTTTTGACATCATAATAACTATTGTGATATCATACTATTACACCTTGAATTAGGGAAGTAGCCGTTACGCGTGAATTGTGGTAGGATGATTAAAATTCTTTCACTATATTAAAGATTTTGAATTCGATCCTCTAAAACTGGGGAAAAAAAAGTCCTATTGAACTGTTGCCCTAGAAATAAAACAAAAGAGAACATATGTGGCTGCTGGGATTCGAGCCCAGGTCTCCACGGCCACAACGTGGAATTCTTACCACTAAACTACAGCCACTTGATGTTTACGCTTTTCTTAAACATTTAATATAAAACGTATAAAATTTATATTTCAAACTTTAATTCTTTAAAGATTTAAGTTAAACACGAACTTTATTAGTGTAATCTAAAACATAGAGAAAACTTAGAATGGGATAAATTGTAGTAACAAATACTCCATAGTCCTTATAGTAACATATGTTAGTTGATAAATTTGACCACTTATCTTTACCAGTTATATATTTATCTCGTTGGTTTTCTATTCAATGTTTGATAAACGTAGTATATAGTTTTACTAAATTTGGATTTTTGTCAAAAATTCCTATATTGGAGGGTAAAACGCTCCCTAACAAAAAGGACAATGTACCGGCCTTCCTTAGGGGAACTCAAACTCGTGAGTCGAGAGCTCAAAGTAACAATGAAAGAGTACTACCACTCCATCATTCCACTCCCTTATTGGTTACCGATTATATCTTGAAGGTATAGCTTCTCTATAAGCTAGTGGTTAATATTGTCATCAGAAAGGATCGTTAATAAGTACAATAATATATTCAATATAATTCTATAAGTAAGGTATGAAAAGAGTGAATTGTACAAAAAATTTACCTTTACTTTTGTGAGATACGTAGAGAGACTATAAAAGATCTTTAATAAGTAATTATTTATATATTAATTTCCCAAATCTAAGTATAAAAATATTAAACACATGCATTGTCCAATATATATTATTATCCCATCTACTGAGGCATAAGTCCCAAAAAAATTTATCACCCCATGGGCGTTAAGAGCTTTAATCACATTAAAATTAGTCTCAAGACAGGCCTCTAGTAAGAATTGACTTTCCATAAATAATGCAAAATGAACTAAAACAAAACGTGTATTTCACTATTTTGACTATTACCTAATGCATTATTAATCATCAATACATACACATATGTATATATTATGTGTATATTACATAAATTCGTCGTATTTAAAATTAGTTATTTCATAGAATACATGCAAATTAGTTTACCAAAATATTTGTATTTCAAAAATTACAGCTAAATTTGGAACTAATTAACTTTGTGGTAATGGTATATATGGTCAATAATTAATTTGTGGTGATATTAATTAACATCAATTCAAATTATTCATATTGATTTAACTTTGTTTTTTAGTTTCCTTACGGAATGCGAATTGAAGCTCCGACTAAATTCGGATTATGCACTATGTAATGTAGGATTCATTCGGGGTGACACTCCCAACAAAATTTTCTTCTACTTAAACTCACGACCTCTAATTAAGAATGAACTAATTATATTTCACCACTGTACCATGACCCACGTTATTTATATTGTTTAAACATTATAGTCTTAAGAGTCTACCAAACGTTTTTGAAGGTTCCAAAGAACTTCCTTGTATTTGGAAAAAAAAAAAAACAAGACAAGGAATTAAGAAGTGAGAAGAGGTCAAAATAATCCAACTTATCAAATTCCTTTATCTTTTATTGTCACCTGTCAAATCACACGGTTATACCCTGAGTAAACTTCAATCTTCTTCAATATTCCTTCCTTAGAAATTCTCCTTTCACTTTCAAAAAAATACATCACAATTTTTTTCTATTCGATCATCGATACTCGCAATTTTGATAAAACGAACTTTTGATAAAACGAACTAGACTTTTGACTAATAAAAGCGAAAACTTATTAATTCTATCATAATTTATAAGGGTTATTTTATTTATGGACAAAGTTATTTCAAAATTATAATCATGAAATTCTGTAACTAATTTATCTCATCTCTTAGGTGGGATAAAATAACACCAACTTTGAGGTATAAATTTTATAATTATAAGATGTCATATTTTTACCTTGTCTCATGTACAAAACGACCCCTTATATGAAGTTCAAGTTCAATTCTTAGTCAACATTTCCTTCCTTAAAATTTCTCCTTTCACTATCAAGAATCTACAGTATTTTATTTCCACCTTATATCATGTATTCATTTTTATAGCTCTAATTAATTCAGATTTGTATGGCTAATTAAGAACCACTAAAAAGGAAAATACTCTAGCAAATTTTTTATTCTAGAATAACTTTTATTCGAAACATCTAATTAAAAATACAAGAACATATTCATCCCATCGCAATCTTTCGTAATATAAAAAACTACAAGCACTCATATATTATTATTAAGTACTAGTAAACTCCAAACATATTCCATGTTCACATGTATAACTTTCTCTAAACGAAAAAAAGAAGAAAAAACAACCCATTTGTCGAAATACAACCACCTATATAAATACCACAAGGAAACACAAATTTAGCAAAACAACATTCCAATATTCAAAAAAATTCGAAAAAAATGCAACGTTCATCACTAGTTTCCAACTTATTACAACGCCAATTAGTCCATCAAAGGCAAAGGATTAGCAAAAACCAAATGATTAACAAAGTGATTAGATCACAATTACCATGTGATGTTTTCATTAATCACAGAGGTAATGACACAAAGAGAACAATAGCTTCATTATTATATGATCATTTGACACGTTTAAGGATTAATTCATTTTTAGACAACAAAAACATGAAGCCAGGTGACAAATTATTTGAGAAAATTGATAGTGCAATTGATGAATGCAAAATTGGTGTTGCTGTTTTTTCACCACGTTATTGTGATTCATATTTTTGTTTACATGAATTGGCTCTATTTGTCGAATCAAAAAAGAAATTGATTCCTATTTTTTGCGATGTGAAACCCTCTGAGCTTCGTGTTGGTAAGAGTAATAATATTCAACTTGAACCAAAAGAAATCGAGAGGTTTAATTTGGCACTTGAAGAGGCAAAACACACCGTTGGACTTGATTTCGACTCTAATAAAGGGTACGTATTGTCTTTAATATGTTATAGTAAGTTACTTACTTTACATTTTAGATTATTCTATTTTACTTATTATTTATTTACCTTTTAAATGAACCTAGCTTTAGTACAAAGTACGAGCATTTAAATATATGTATAATATTTCGTATTAAATGATACATTGTTTATTTCCAATTACTTGCATTGAATTCAACAATATGGCTTATAAAATGTTTGGTTGTTTTTTTTCGTTAACAACATAAATAATACATACATAAGTTATACATAAATCTATTTACATTATTTTATAAATTGAATCATAGAAGATAAAATAAGAATACAATAATTAGTAATAGGTAGATTAAAATGCATAAGTTAAAATGCTCATTTTTAATTATCTTGCTTGTGGATTTATCGACTTAATTAATTACAAAGTGTAATTAACTATAGTTTCTTTCGTTAATTTTCGACAATTTAATGTTGTTTGTAGGAACTGGTCTGATGTGGTGACAAAAGCAGCTGATGTTGTCATTGAGAGTTTGATTGAAATTGAAGAAGCTCAGATAATCAGAAATCCCATAAAATTAATTATACCATAACCATACAATATCAATTTTATTTTTATTTTTTTAAAAAGGAGAGCTAATTAACATGAATTTATTGTTTTGAATAAGTTATCAGTTTTTGTATGGTTTTACTAAAATATTTTAGTGAACTATTCATGTTGTTCTTTGCAGTATATAATTAACAAGCAGATTTTTTTTTTATTGTTGTAACATGTACAAAGTTCATCCAATAAAATTTATTCAATGTTTTCTTAATTTATATATGTCCTTTAACTTCTTCTGTTTTTCAAATTGTTGTAGCATGTTCAACATTTTTCTTATGTTTAAGGAGAAAAATTGGATTCATACCGAACACACCCTAAAGTCTGTAAGTAGATTATGAAAATCAAATCCCGAATTAATTTTTTTTTTGTAAAATCCACAAATAGAAAGTAATTTTTTTTTTTTGCGTATGTTATTTAAGAGATGCATGTATAAACAATTATTTTTGTAAATATAACTAAATACATTACATACGTATTTTCTAAATACCATATATATTTATTCATTCAAAATTTAATATTAACATGCACAATTCTTCAAAAATTAAATGTAAAATAATTCTAAATAAACCGAAAATTTAACATATATTGACAAAAAATAAAATAAAAAAATTAAACTCCTTATATTGATTTCTTTGCTTGTATATTTATTGGTGAGAAAATTGTGATACCAATGGGCCGAAAGTTTTGGGCTTCGATCCAACGTAAGTGGATCAACATAATAAAGCCCAAATTTAATTGTGTAACCAAAATTCCAATCAAGATTATCCATTAAGCTCCATATGAAATAACCACGCACATCAGCACCATTCCTGTTCCATCATAAATTCATAATTACATGAATCGTGGTCGTTGCAAATTCATTTTCGCTATAAATAGACTGATATATAAATCTCCTAACTAATATTTATCGATAGAAATACCTGATTGATCGAGCCAAAGATGCCAGGTATGCTTTGTGAAATTTAATTCGATTAATATCTTTGTCCAAGTCATATCCCCCTTCTTGATTATCATTTGAACCATACCCTGAATATAAAAATTTTATTACATACTTTTAATTACGTAAATATCCATGATAATGTGTGAAAAATTCTACAATTTAAGGAGATTAACATTTACCATTTTCAGTCACAAATATAGGCATGTTATTGTATCTCTTCTTAATATAATCAATAATATCCTCCATGCCTTGTGGAACCACATACAATCCAGGCATTCCCATCTGAAAAAAAAACAATTTAATTTATTACTATCATATATCACCATATTATAAATAAAAAGATAGTAATTCGGTACATCAATATTCCACATATATAAGTTACACGTGATTTAAAAAAGAATTGCACCAAAAAATGTGTTATATAGATAGTCCACGTCCATGCACATGACACAACTCACAAGCATTAATGATTGATTATCTAATAATAAAGTCGAGCCCACCAATAGCCACAAGAAGGAAGTAATGCCTAAATTACCCTAGAGTTAGATATTGGAAGGGGGTTCATCTGTCGTCAAAAATTTACACTGTAAAGTCAAACTATATAGCAGACATAATTACTGCTTATTCAAGTTTGATTATTAATTTGATAATTAATTTATTATAATGATGAAAATGATTTTGGTATCAAATCAAAATATACTTCTTATCATCTCATAAAAAAGGGAATATTACGATTCAACGACCCTATAAATCATACGAAGACAACAATATTGTTAATATGAATAATATCTTACCAGATCTCCTATGAATTCACCATCTTTATTCTGTCCAGAAGTGAGCAAAAATCCTAAGATTGCATGATTTTCACCATGGCTACACGTAGGATTATTTTCATGCATGCACGTACAATTTGAATGAAGACAATCCTTGACAAACAACGTTGAATAATGATTAATTCCTTTAAAATCCATGCTGTTTTTTATAAGTAATTTTTCTTCATAGCTAAATCTTGGTAATTTCCTCCCATGATAATGTCGTATTTCTATCGGATCAAGAAGCCTGTTCATTTAAAAAAATATCGTATAATTATTAGGACGACAAAATCAGCTCATAAAAATATTATCTGCCTAGTTTATCCAAGTTTGGTAGGTCATTAACCCGTTCAATTCAGTAATTCAATTCATTTTAAGTGTTTGATATGTTATTTATATATAGTCATAAAAAGTACTTGAAAGAATCATAGGAATACAAACAAAGAAATTAAAACATCGTAAGAGTTAGACGGATGAACCACTTTTAGCTCATTTTAATTTAAGTAATTTTTTACCCGTTCATTTATTTACTCAACTCATATTGATCTGTCTAAATTCAATTCAATACATCTATTGACACCCTTAATTATTATTATTATTATTTATTATTTTTTTTTTTTTATTATTATTATTACATGTAATGGAGTTGATGTTTAGCAAAAATATTTTATCTACATTCAGTGTTTGCTGTTTTATTTGAAAAGATATTTTGGACTTGTTTAAGAGTCGCCACTTAATTTTTTAAGAAAAAATTAAGAAAACTGATTTTCAATAGATTAAAACAGGGAATCAATTGAAAATACTTAAGGGGGTTCGGGGTTCTTATTAATATTCTAGGAAGGTTTTTAAGGCACCTAGAATATCCGCTAATGCGGTTATCCGACGATTAATTTACTCGGCTAAAATGATTTAACTTTAACTTAAATTGCAAAATTGAGTTATTTTGTAATTAGAACTATTTTAAAGGGAAAAAGGGGAAATATTTAAATATTATCCAAGTGAACTATCTTATAAAATTATTTCTTTAAGTCTTTGTTAAAAGACGACTGATTTAGTTAAATTGTTAAATCGAAATGGGTGTCTTTCGGGGATTTGAATTTTTCGACCTTAAGATTAGCGAAAATATTAACAAGCAAGCAAACATAATAAAATAAAGAGGGAAAGAGAGTTAGGCCCAAATCTGGTTTCTGGCCGCCTGGACCAGTATTTGGGCCCATTTTCGTGAAGGCCCCATTTGAGTCATTTGTACCTGTCCTAAACTAACAAGATGATAATTAAAATAAAAGGGGCTTAGGCCCAATAACAAAATACAAAAACTGAATATGGGGGCCATTAGGCCATTTTCCCACTTTCGTATACACTAGATATATACTAGTGTATACGGTCTCATAAATCTGCTCCGAACATCTGTACGCCGAACTCATGGATTTATTCTTCGGCTCCACTCGCCGACTGACTCGAAAGCAAGGATTTGAGCCTTTATGGCTCGACTCGAAATGCAAGGAAGAGAAGTTCGTCGTGGACTCAAAGGGGTTCATATAACAAAACAAGAAAGGCAAGAATTAGCATTTTTTGAATAGTAAAATAAATGAGACACAACTTAAACGAGACGCAACTCAATTAAAATGAAAGACCAACTAAGAAATCAAGACCCGAGAAATGTAACCAACCCAACTATTGAACCCAACATAACAAGTGGCTTTGAAAAACGGCAAACTAAATTAACTTAACAAAACGAGAATAAACAAACATGCTTGAATACTTGACAGTAGTATGAGCTATAAAATCTAGAGGATCGTGTAAAGGGGAAAAACAAAAACATATTAATGCACAGCCAATAAATCAAAATGTTGAAAGAGACATGCTGCATAATTAGCAAATAAATGCCTCTCATGCCAAAGTTTAACCAACTCTATTTAAAGAAATCTCATGATGTTGGATTGTCATGCTAACACAAAATAACAAAGGTTGCCGAAATAAAGGGGCAGACATAATCATTTTAGCAAAGAAAGAAAGATGACGTATCTCAAACAATTAAACAAAATCACATTGGCACTCAACCATACATATTAACAAGAAAAACACAAATGGGCATGATCATATATAACCTTTGTATAGAGTAGCATTGTTAGGCAGTGACATCAATTAAAGTAAACACCAAGTTAAAATTAGGATAGATATTTTCAGATTTTTAACAAAATAGGAGAGCTATTCCCTGGAAAGAATGCGAGTGACCTCAGTTGGATCGACACATCGCAGTAAAGAAATTACTAGTGACAACATAAACTAAGACCGAAAAGATATAAGCAACAACTCGACTAGATGAAAAGAGGGGCTAAGCCTAACTGCTAAGCAAATCCCAAACAACATTTAACAAATTGCCACAATAAGCGAAGGACCGAAGCTGACTGCCTAGACAATCATGCCGAGACAAGGAATTTCATGCTTTCAAACTATCAGAAATCTAAATACAAGGAGATTCATGGAC